GAGAGGATGCAGGTGACACAGTGAACAAACAAAATAACCAAGGAGCTGCAAGAGAAGTAACCACCAAGGTAAGATGTGATAGGGGGACAATCTTGGTAGGGCAAGCAAAATATACAAGTGACACTGTGCTGGCAGGAGACTGAAATTCCTCTTGTAAGACATAGCTATGTGACAACGAGCTGTATTTGTTAAAACACTGAGATTTCCATCCTGGAATCTGCAGGATGGGTAGCTCCAGAATGCTTCTGGCTAGACGGCTAGAAAACGGGTCAGGGGGGTGGACACCAAGAAACTATGCTGCACCAGAGAACCCTGGGAAAAGATTGTGCATCAGCACCTCTGAAAACCAGGCCCTAATTTAAAATGACAAGTTAGAACATTTTGGTCTCCAAGTCCATCTTTGGGACCAGATTCCTTCCATAATTGCTCATCTCGTTGTTGGCACCTGAGTCAGTATATCAGCCAATTAGAGGGCTAATTTCCCATCTGCAATATTATTGTCACTGCATGTGCACTTGTGTGTACAGAATTCTGGCACTAAATCATAGACCTTCACCCTGGGCTGCGTGTCCAGTATTACTTCAGACTAATCCTTTGCTGCTTCAGGGAGGAGTCTGGGAAGATCTTTTGTCCCTTTGTTCAATGTGTCTTTCATTCAGGGAAGCCGGAGACCTCTCTCTCCTTGTCTCTGTTTGATGTCAGTTTTCCAATCCGATTGCTAAATGATGCCTGCCTCTACGCAATGACTTCAATGGGAGCGGTAGGAACTTAGTACTTCTGGGAATCAGGCCCCCTTCCTTTAGGTTCCAAAACACGGATTTAGGTGTTAACCTTTAGGCACCCAAGTCTGGAATGTTCTATAGCTATTTGCCTTCTTTTAGTTTAACTAGCCTGTTATTGAGTATCAGAGGGGTAGCCGTGTTAGTCTGAATCTGTAAAAAGCAACAGAGGGTCCTGTGGCACCTTTAAGACTAACAGAAGTATTGGGAGCATAAGCTTTCGTGGGTAAGAACCTCACTTCCGAAGTGAGGTTCTTACCCACGAAAGCTTATGCTCCCAATACTTCTGTTAGTCTTAAAGGTGCCACAGGACCCTCTGTTGCTTTTTAGCCTGTTGTTAATTAGCTAGATCCTAAATACATTGTTATGAGCAGGAAAATGGTTCAAAAATAATATCCCATCTCTTTCTGATAATATTGGTATAATATTTCCTGTAATCTGATGTGCTTCCCCAGAGATATTAGTAAAATTAATGGTTGCAATTCTGGCACTATATAAAAGAGAAAGATACACCCTCAGAAATGGGTAGATTGACATTTAAGCTTCATGTGTTTGTATAGTCTTAGTATTACAGCTTCACTGTAAATTTCTTTGCTATGGAGATTGTTACTAATATGTGAACAACAACTCTGAGGGTAAGCATTCTACCTTGAAAATGAATAAAATATAAACATTACAGGAAAGGAAGACCTTGCAAGGTCAACTGTAGAGCAAGGGCAAACCCAGAAGCTACACACAGAGGCATCAAGCTGCAGTATGTGTGGTTCACAGGCAGGACTCTAAGGAAACTCTGAAAACAATGGGTCAAAGGAGAAAAGGGAAGAAGTATTACAGCATCAGATAGGTCATGGTCTTAGCAGCTCAGCAGCAAGAAATATGTGAGGATTGCTGCGAGTATGAGAAAAATCCAACCACTTTGCCAGCCTCTCAAATACAGTCTCAAACCCGTCATTGTCTTGTGACTGATTTTTAAAGAAGGAGGTAAAAAGTGCTTAGCAACCACAAGCTCCAAACATAGCCATGAAAGGTCAAAAATATGGCATAAAAATAATCACCTAAATGTAAAGGGCAAATTCCCATCCCTCAATCAAGAACAGTTAAAATAAATGCACAGTTCAGTCTCAACTATCCAACCTCAGGTTATCTGAAATACCAGGTTAAAAACCATGGTACAGCTCTTTCATATCGTTATGCACAATGCATTTCTATCCCTTTTATACAAAAGCCTATCTTCCCAAAGATTTAAGAAAATTTGGAATATAATAGGGCAGGGGGAAAAATCAGGGTTGTACTGCAGAATTTAGGAATAACAAGTTATTTTTACATAAGCTTTTCATACATCTCAAAGCACTTTAAAAAGAAAAGCAAATATAATCTCAATTTTACAGATGTGGACACTGAGACACAGAGAGATAAAGAGACATAATAAGTCAGTGGGAGAAACAGAAATAAAACCCAGTTCACCTGATTCTCAATCCAGTGTCCTGATTACACTGCCTCTCAGTTTAACAGAGATATTGTATACATTACACACACACACACACACACACACACTCAAAATATAAGTAGCTTGATTTTGCAATAGTGGTAAATACCCAACCACTCCCACTGACGTCAATATTCAATTTTACGTTGGCCTAAGGACTTTAGGGACTTGAATTCAAGGGGAGCTGTGAATGCTCTGCACTTTTGAAAATCTTGGCCATTCTCTCTAGCCTTGATCATACACACATTGCTCCTTCAATACATTCAAAATGCAGCTGTTAAAGTCATCTCCCTTGCTGTAACTGATGAGCATGTCACTCCCCAGTATGAAATTCCTTCACTATTGCATCAGATATAAGCTCATAATCTATTTCAAGGCTCTGCCCATTCCTAGTTATCCACCTATATCAAGTTTAGCACTACCCCCAGACCATCCACTCCATCAATATTCCTTCTCATCTCCAGCCATCTGATTCTCACAAAGTCACCTGACCTCCATGACATCTGCCATGCAGCTATCTATGCAGGTACATTAAGTTAGTCTGCAAGGGCCTCTTCCATGTCCAGAATTAAGACCCACTTCTTCCATCCTTCCTATCATGAATCTAGTTGACTTATATAAACATCTTATCTCTCTCAACTTCTTGAATGTCTGGAAAATACCTTAGAGAGACAAGGTGGATGAGGTAATATATTTTATTGGACCAACTTCTGCTGATAAAAAAGGAAAAGCTTTCAAGCTACACTGAGCTCTTCTTCAGGTCTGGGAAAGGAACTAAGTGTCACAGCAAAACACAAGGTGCAACCGATTGTTTAGCATAAGTAGTTAACACAAAGTCTGAAGGACTTGCCTCTTCCACCAACAGAAGTTGGTCTCACCCACCCGCCTGTCTCTCTAATATCCGGTTACCAACACGGCTACAGCACTGCAAATGGAGTGCTACCAAGTAGCTAAATATAAATAAATAATATGCATTTAAAAAATTCACCAGGTAATGTTAGACAGGACTGACTTTAGATGGAGACCCATAATTAATTTAATTGTATCATTTCTGCTAAATAAAAAGGTAAAATTATTTTAATTACAAAACACCGCTAGTTACATTGTTACATATTGTTCTTGGCTGTTGCTAAATTGCAATTAATAATTTTGAGACTAGTCCTTTAAAATAATCCACTCTTTCTTAATGAAAACTAGAAGCATTCATATATTAAAAATTCAGATCAGAAGTCAGAGTGGAAAAATGAAAACATAAATATGCACACAAAACCTAATATATCTCTCATATATATGACCAAACTTGTTGATATCTAAATAGCGTGTGTACCTTTGTGTAACACACATACACATGCTTACACTTTATTTATCTGTATATACCTCAGATGTCACCACTTTGAGCCCATGCCTCATTTATGTCTATTAATATTTTGTTTTGTGAAAGGAAGGCATATATGCTATACCACATACAAAATTAAGTGAGGATAAGATGGAGCTTTTGTAATGTATATCATACGAATGGTCTCATCAACCCTATTACATTCATATTACTAAACAGCTTCACATATACTATTTCAATGACCTGATTACGTGCCAGATTTGGCAACTGTGCGCGCACACACACACACACACACACACACACACACACACACACAAATGAAGATAAGATGGATTCTTTTGTCAAAGATATATTTGAGATTAACAGCAAGCTGGCAGATTGAATGTGTTACACTGCACTGAGGCAATTACTGTAGTAGGTAAAGCAAGTGATAAAAATTTATTTAGTACAAGGCTGATATTCATTAATCTCATTAAACCCCATGTTAAGGTTGTTTAAAGCACTGTAGATCTTCTCTGGGAAGGTCTGTTGAATCTATGACAGAAAAGGCAGACCTGCATAAATGCAGTGCAAGTCTCCATGGACTATGACATTTCTATACCTCCACAGGGAGGCCAGTATTTTAGATTAGTTTGGTTAGCACTGCAGATGTAGCATGCTGATTTACTAAACTCTGATGCAAGTACCAAAAATAATTAGCGTATCAAAGATCACTTTCTTTCCCCTCTTTTATTAGTGTGCTAAATATGGCATTGTCACAAGGAAATAACTTATTTCACTGAGGTTCAGACACTAACGGCAGACTTCACAAAACTGTACGTTTCTAATAAGATCTGTTTTTTTCCAGTGCTGATTTTTTTTAAATGAACATATTATTATACAATTGCACAAAAGTCACTCAATTACACCCCTCCTTCCACGTATCTCAGTATAAGGTACTAATAAGCATTTCTAAAAATTAAACAGTTACTTTGGTGCTCCGATACTATAGTAATAGGCACAGTAGAAATACCTAGATTTAGTGCAAAAGCTTTTCTGAACTGCATTTTATGTGTCACAGATTAAACTTGTTCAATGGATAACCTGAGCACTAAATGCTTTTACAGAATTCGCTTTATAAAAAAATTAATTCTTATTGGGTGGGTACACAGAAAAATACTCTCTTTGAAACAAGTTAATTTCTTCAGTGTTTAAGTGAGATCCATTTCTCAATACATAAGAAAGAATGAACACTGTCTCAAGAGTTTTGGTCAAGGTTCCCAGGTATTGCTGGTGGATGGGTGCGTAAAACCAGAAAGACACCCACAACCCTTCCTAATTTTTTATCTTCAGAAAGCATATTAAAATGATTTATTTCTGGTCTACTGCTCATATTGAATGCAAGTCAACTTCTCCTTACCTTGCCAATGACAGGGATATCAACGGAACCCCAGGTATCAGCTCCCCAGTGAACCATGCCTGAGGCAAAATCAGCTGTAATAATTCCAGCAGCTGGAAATAAAAAAGAATGTTAACAGTAGAAGCTAATCTACACACTGAAGTTACATCAACCACTTACCCTATGCAGCAGAAAAAATTAAAAAAAAAAAGTCACTGATTTCCAAATGCAAAAATACTTTTTATGAGACCACACAAAACTAGCAAAATACAGTTTTATCAATTTCAATTAAAAGAAATGTAAAGTCTCTATTTAAAAACATATTAAAAAGCTGCTTCTGGAATCAGGCAGAATCAGAAATCAGTTTTACATATAGAAATGCAGCAAGTCAGCAGGTGCCAACTTCATTTTAATAGTAATCCATTAATCAGTTTTTAAAGGTTTCTCTATTGTAGGTTTACTTAACCCAACCTAGCACAAAATAATGGGGTTAGCCCAGTGTTTCTCCAACATTTTTTCAACCATATTCTTCCTTATCTCTCTTTCTCTCTCTCCCTTTCTCTGTGTGGCCTGTACAGTTTCGTATCTTCATTGAAATACCTTCCAGAAATGCCTTTTATTCCAGCAACATAAGATGGTTCCATTGTGCTGAGAGCCTTTTCCAAAAGAGCAAAATTCTCCCGAGACTCGGGTTTCCAGATCTGAATGCTTAATTTCATATTCTATCTCAACAAGGGCAAGGCTTCAAAAATACTGGATCAGGGTTTATTGTGATTAAACTACGAGAGCTACTTATATTCAACTATTCCCTCATTTTCAAATGCTGGTTCAATATTAACATCTAGCAAAAATGCTGAAGATTTGTATTACTATTTCATAAGCTTTATATACAGCATATCAGTAACTCCATCTACTGTCCATAAAACTCTATTCTAGTTATTCAAATACAACTAAAAGGAAAGGGTTTTTTTAAATGGGCTAATTATCTAACTCCAAGATTCATGATTTGCCTGTCAAACTAAAGCCAAGTTGTTAATTCAAAACAATTGCACCAGTTACTTTTCCTCCGATCAATTCTTTGCATTGTCCTGCTTAGCTACCATGTAAACAAACTCCCCTTCACAGTAAATAAATTCTTCATGCAAACCATCTTTGTCCTGAATTTAAAAAAAATATTTGAAATCAGTATGACATGTTGTCACTGCAACAACTAGATTTAATAACCACCCTGAACTTGTATTCATAGATTCCAAGGCCAGAAGCGACCAGTGTGATCATGTAGTCTGACCGCCCATAAAACACAAGCTATTTAACTTCCCCAAAATAATTCCTAGAGCAGATCTTTTAGTAAAAACATCCAGTCTCAATTTAAAAATTGTCTGTGATAGAGAATCCACAATGACGCTTGGTACATTGTTCCAATACTTAATTACTTGCATTGTTAAAAATGCATGCTTTATTTCCAATCTGGATTTGTCTAGCTTCAACTTCCAGCATTGCATCATGTTATATCTTTCTCTGCTAGACTGAAGAGACCATTATTAAATATTTGTTCCCCATGAAGATATTTATAGACTGTAATCAAGTCACCCCTAAACCGTCTCTTTGTTAAGCTAAATAAATTGAGCTCCTTGAGTCTAACACTATGAAGCATGTTAGTATTCAGACTAAAGGATTTTCCTAAAGTGAACTGCACTTATCCTAATATTTCAAATAGGCCATTAATTTCATAGTCTATTTTAAGGGCCAAACCCCAAAGTCCGATGGATTTTCATAGGAGTTTACTTGAGCACGGGCTGGCATAAAAACAGAGTGAGGACTTCAAGATTTCGCCTTCTAATAGTGTCCTCTACGTTACATAAAATATTTCTCCCTCCATCTGGGAGATCTTATTTGTCAAAATCTAGAAATGTAGATAATTTCAGTGGGAGCAGGATTATACCCTTAATTCAGTCTTCCTCTAACATGCAAACTGGGCATAATTCACAAAAATAGCACTATAACAACAAATGTGACAGTTAATTATGTTTCATGGCGTGACTACCACCGGTACAGAAAAATGGGTAAATCCTTGTCTTCTGTCAGGTAAGCGGTGGTGCCCACATGAGGTACAGGAATTTTTATGCACAGTTCTGCCTCCTCTTCCATGCAGGCAAACTCCCCAGCTGATGACTGCAAAGTCTGTATAATATAGGTTAGTCTGCCTTGACTTCCTAATTTCAGTCACTCAGCCCAAGCCATACATCTGATTAGACAGTTTTGTGGGCATCTGTACCTCTGTGGTCATGCCCTGGAAAATGTGATGTACAGAAAATGTATTAAAATTGTAGAGCTAGTATTTTAATGCTCAGGGGTTTCCTGGTCCTGCTTGCAGGCTAGGGAGCGCTGTAGGGAAGCATAAAAGCAGCAAACAAAAAGCCTAGAGTAAGGTGGGGCAAGTTATGCCTCTGTTTTAGGGAGCAACCTGCTTTGTGTTTCATCATTCTGAATTCTAAGAAAAAAAGTAGTGTTACATTGCAACTTTCCATAAAGAGTATTTTATCTAACTTCTCTGTTGGTATGCTGTTACACATACCAGAAAACCATCAGGATAGTCAAAACAACTAAACTGTTTTTTGCAACACAAATTAAACATTTGAAAGGTTCCAGATGTTTTTTTCCATTTCTGTCCACTCCCATGGTGTGACTGTCACTGCCTTACACAAATAGGTTTGACTAGCAATAACCTCAGCTCAAAAACCTCCTTAACCGGTTTATCCCATTTTAAGAGGCAAAAGAGACAGCACCTTTCTGCCACCCATGACAGAGAAGTCTTGGGATAAGATCGGAAGTAGACAGGTGAGACAGAGAGCTGAAAAGGGCCCTCAGTTAGGGAGATTTTAGGTGAAGAAGAGAAAAGGCAACCTATGAAGGAAGCTCCATGTGCCTAGCTGATACAGGCAATGGCCTCTGGAACCAATTTTTTTCCAAGTGGGGGCACAGAAAGGGGTAAAAGGATCCCCTGGACAACCTCCTCCTTGACACTGCTTTCCTCCTCTTTCTTCTACCTCGGGGGCGGAGCAGATAAGAGATTTGTCCAGCCCTGTGACAAGTGTCTGAAGCACAGTGAAAGTGCCCTTTATCAGCCCTGCCTCAGGTGAACCAGTGACCATCTGCGAAGAGGACCCAGTGCCCCATGTTCATACAATGCCCACAACAAAGTGCTGGAGAGTGGAGTTGCAGTGAGTTCCTGGCTAGCTTCTTTTTCTTTCCCAGCTGAAGAATGAAGCAGGTTGAAAAGGTTCAAGATGCCACCTCAGTATGAGGCACCTGCTGCTTCTTCAACACAGGCAAGAATCAACTGGGGAGTCTGGCTGCATGGAGGTGAGAAGGAGCTGGAGTGGACATGAAAATTTCTGTATCCTGACTGAGTATCACCGTCTGATGCACCGAGGATAGAAACAGACAGTGCTTAATTTGTAATGAAAGAGGTGACCGGGTTCAAGCAATTTTTTTTTTAACATTCATAACTGATGCAGCAAGCGCAGAGGTGCCTGGCTATGGACTGCCACCCCTAGAGTTGCTGGAAACGTGCTTATTTGTCTGTATCAGTGGCAGCCACACCATGGGAAACAGGGAAGGCATGATGGTGTGGCATGAAGGGGGGAGGGATAGCTCAGTGGTTTGAGCATTGGCCTGCTAAACCCAGGGTTGTGAGTTCAATCCTTGAGGGGGCCACTTAGGGATCTGGGGCAAAATCAGTACTTGGTCCTGCTAGTAAAGGCAGGGGGCTGGACTCGATGACCTTTCAAGGTCCCTTCCAGTTCTAGGAGATGGGATGGGATATCTCCATAATTTAAAAGGTTGTATCGACATCAACTTGGGATGACCACATTACTTACAAGTGGTAAAGTCACATGAAAATTATTCAAATACATCAACAGTGTTGGTAAAGTCTTTATACCATACAGTCACATATTCTATGCATTCCACATCCTTTACGGAAAAAACATTTTAGAAACTGTTTGAAGGAGTTTTCAAAATTTTTATATCCCTCCACATGTAAGGTCAGGTTCTCTTAGTGCCCTTAGCCCAATGATGCAGGCCTCAGAATGATAAAGATTTTCTCAAATACATTTTAGAAACCTCTAAAACGTGATTAGAATAGGTTTTCTATGCAGAATAATGTGGTGTTTTTAAGGTTTTGCTCTTAAAGGACTCAAAGCAAGTTTTAAGATTGGGCATCTCAGAGCTAAAAGCCAGTGGTTTACGCACTGGAAAGCTGGCAATGTCCCCATCACACTGACTGGTATAAAATTTCATGTTTCTAGTCTGCTGGGTTTCAAGATAGAGATCGGACTTTAAACTTGTCACTGTTCCTAAGTTGCTCCTAGGCCAATGTAATTCTGTGGGAAATTCCACATTTATGAGACAGGAGGAAACAGGCAAGTTGTTTAAAAATAAAAGTCTGGAGGGGTTTGAATGTTTGAAGTAGTCCCAGCTGAGACTGATTAGTGATGGTGAGTTGGCCAAAGGTGTCTGATAACCATTATCACACAGCCTTTCAAGTTACCAACACCATGTGTGTTATAGAAGGGATTATCATAATTGTGTTTTGATGCTGTTTAATTCTTGCACTTTGCATCTGTATTGTAAAACACACTATTTGGAGATTCATAAGTAACTAGAAAAATATTGGTTGTTTGAAATAAATCATACACATATATTTTAGTATATGGGAAGTTTTTAAATACTTCATTTAAAAAAAGGATAATGTTTAACAACAGTGCAAGAAACTAAAAACCCCCACAGGCTTTTGGGTTTTACTCTCAAGGTCAACTGATATCATTAGACTTACATGAACTCACTTCAAGTTACAGCAGGGAAATCATGTTCGGAAATATGGGTCAAGTCATCAAGCAGTAATAAAGCTGTTACCTCCAGACTTACTATTTGAAATATTCTTTGAAACCTGTCATAGTTTAGTATTTCCGTTATTAGAATGACATTTAACAATGAAGTATATCAAATGACTAAAAAACCAAAGGCCACTTAAAATGAATATCAAGTCAAATGTATCAGGAAAAAAATTACAAACCAAATAACGTCACATTTTATTTAGTTGATAGCCATT